GGTTTAGGAACAGGAGGGTGCTCTGGGCTAGGGCAGGGGGGTTCAGAGGGTGGGTGGGGATCAGGGTTGGGGCGGGAGGGACAGCTCTGGTTGAGGATGTGAACTCTGGGATGGGGCTGAGGTGCAGATGGGGGTTTTGGTCTGGGATACAGGGGTTCTGTGAGCAGGAAGGGCCTCAGGGGTGCAATCTCTCTCAGAAGTAGCAGCATGTCCGTCTCCCTCTCCCGACTCTTATGTAGAGTTGCTAACAGGAGACTGTGTACTGCCCAGTCTCCCACTGGTCACAATTCTCAGCCAATGGACGCTATGGACATGGTGCTCAGGGTGGGAGCAGCATGCTGAGCCCCCTGGCTGCCTCAAAGCATAGGAGCCACATGGGTCATATTTAGAGCCATCCCATCCACTGGATGGTTTGAGACAATCATTCCACACTTCAGGGAGACCTGTGCTTATAGGGGGCGTGGGCCTGGGCAGAACAGGGGCTGATGTAAACATGACCAGCGTGCCTCTGCTCCGCTCCCTGCTTCAGGGGATGCAGGACATGGGTGGCGCAGGGGCCTACAGCACAGCAACTGGCCCTTCTCCACTCTGCAAGCACCCAGTATCACTTGGGAGAGGAGTGGTTAGGATGGAGTGAGGTAGGGTTGGGGCAGAACAGAGGTAGGATTGGGGGGTTTCTGGTGTGGAGGAGTGTCCCAGGCTCCACACTCCTCTAGGGATGGCTGTGATCAGATTATGATTGCTGGTGGGTTGGATGCAGCCCATGGGTCATAGTTTGCCCACCCCGGTCCTAAAGAATCCTCTCCCTGATGTAGATCATTCGGCTGAAGTCCTGCAAGTTGATATAAAGATCATGCCCACTACCCATGGACAAAACTGAATTGGGGGGGGGCAAAGGTGATAGAGAGAGTGTTTTCCACTCTGCTAAGAAGAATACTTCAAGGACAAAAGATAGCTTAGTTTTAGAGCCCATTCAATCATTACCAACTATGAGGAATCATAGTTCCAACCATACCAACACTGACAAAGAGGGTATTAATCAGTATTAAAATGTAATGGGGGTTCTCTTGTTACAAAGAGACAAGGGGGTGAGGAGGTGGGGTTAGTTTTATTAAACCAACTTCTGATGGTGAGAGAGACAAGTTATCAAGTTTACACAGGGCTTTTCTTTAACAACCAACATGGTTACAATAACACTGCAAACAACTCTTGGTACAAACATTGTCCAGTAGTAGCTGGAAGGAGACCATTAGTTAATTTTATATATTTTGGAGTCCTCAGCTGATTCTGGGTTCTGGGGAAATTCTGCACAGAGCCTGGGGTCTTGTGGGGAATCTCCAGCTGACCCCAAGCTCCGTGTGGCATTTCAAAGTGGCAGTGCAGCATGGAGCCCAGGGTCAGCGGAGGACTCTGAGTTCACTGGAGACTCTTGTACATTTCAAAACCAGCACACCGTGTGCAGCCCAGAGTCAGCGGGACTTCCCACTAGCCCCAGGCTGCATGCAGAGTTCCGCATTCTTCCTTTGGAAAGTACAAGAGCCCCAGTGGAGGCTCTTGTACATTTCAAAGGAGGAATGCAGAAGTGCCTATTGACTAGTGGATGGAAATTCCATCAACTAATACATTTCTCGATATTTAACATTCTTAATCAGAAGCTGACTTTTTTTCAGTTGCTACAAGCTATGTCAGATTTGAACTAGTGATCTAATGATGAAAGGTTCACTAACAAATATCCTGAGCCTTCCAGTTCTAGAATCACTAAAAGGCTGGAAATATCTGAGAAAACATCAGATTTTCTTGTTGACGGCATATTCATTAGTTTATAATATTTTTGGTTTCTTTACAATTTTGTATGTATATTTCTAAAACAGAAAAAGTAGTGCAGTGGGGAAAAATAATATAGTTCTAACAAAAGGAAGAATATTTGCATTTAAAGTAAATTGGTTGAGATGCTAAAATAAATGGTGTTTATATACAGAATATACTTTGGTAAACAATATCACAATGTTAGCTGAAATGGTAATTAAAGATAGAAAGAAACACCACGCAATAATAAATGATTTAAAAAAACCAGTAGTGAATCCTCTCTTTTCTAGGTTCTAGCTCTGAGAAAATTAAGGTAGAGATAGGAGACAGGAAAGGAAATAACATTTACGTCACTTACATTGCAATTCTCCCAATGGCAAACAAACATCTCTGAAATCCTTGGTATCTGATTCTGGGTATGACTGTTCTGGGAACATGCTGGCCAATCTTGGTGTGATGCCTTTAACTGAGAGCCTAAAAATTTCAACTTGGTGTGATAACTATGAAAATTTACGTGTGTTACAAGCTCTCTGGAATCTGTAGCCAAAAATTCACAATTTCTCCACCAACACTGGTACTGCTCTAAACACACAAAAAAAGAAATAATAATTCATGGAATACTGTATTAAGTTAGAGATTGTGTGTGACAATCTCCAAGAAGGTACCAAAAGATGACTATTGTTTAAATTTTAGATGATCTACTGAACCATAAGCAAAACTAGTAGTGATGAATACTGGCTATATTCAAATAATTAGGTATCTAAAGATTTTAAGTATCAGAGGGGTAGCCGTGTTAGTCTGAATCTGCAAAAGCGGCGAGGAGTCCTGTGGCACCTTATAGACTAACTGAAGTATTGGAGCATGAGCTTTCGTGGGCAAAGACCCACTTCATCAGATGCAAGAGTCTTGCATCTGACAAAGTGGGTCTTTGCCCACGAAAGCTCATGCTCCAATACTTCAGTTAGTCTATAAGGTGCCACAGGACTCCTTGCCGCTTTTAAAGATTTTAAGCCTCAGCAATGAGCAAGATTTTTCACCCTCTCAAAACTCTGATAATTCTAGTATTTCCAATAAGTTAAAAACTGGAATTATCCCCAGAAAGAAAGCACTTGACCTAGAATTAGGAATATTAAAATTCAGGTATTTTAACTAACCAAGTAGTTGATAGAATTTGTATTGACTACTTGATTAGTTGATAGGCAGCCCGGCTCAGTTCCAGCTCATGCCGGGTGCAGGAACAAACCCTGCTGTGCTTCTGACCCCTGGATCCTACTGCGTTTTAAATTGCAGATCTGTTTGGTCCCGCTCCTGGCGTGAGCCAAAACTGAGCCAGGCTACCTGCCCAGCCAGCAGCAGCCCTGTACACGGAGGTCCCAGTAGGGATTTTGGACCTCCCACAAATAGGGATTGCTGTTGTGAAGCAGCCCCTGCCC